GAAAGGCTAGGGTCGCTAACATGTACTAGTGAAAGCTTCTGCTCTTGAGTCACGTGGCACTGACTTTAGCCGGGCTTTGTGAATGTACTTGCTGTGTGATTTGAAGCAAGTTACTTAACCTCCAAACCTCAATTTCTTCATCTGCATGATGGAGATAATGATAGTTACTGTATTGAGAGTGGTCATTAAGATTAATTAAATGATGGATTTAAAGAATTTTGCACTGTGCCTGGAACCTACTAAATACTGATTAATGGCTATCTATGATTATTTTCATTTTGGCTCAGTGGTCTAGGTTTTCTTGTATGTTTACTTCTAGAACACAGGGAATTGTACAGGTGCTTCTGGAAGACTATATAGACTTTTAAAGTGGACTGCCCTAAAGTCTTTCAAATTGAATAATTCCAAGGGCTGCAAAGAAAGCAAACTTTAACCTTAGTTTCTTGACTGCCTTCTAGGTATAATTTCATTCCATTCTTAAATGCTCCAACAAATAGATTGAAAGAGCGCTGCCCATATCTTCATTTTATAGTGTGGGGAATACATAGGACTCACCTCAGACTGCCTGGCAAATTGCTAAAATGTAATTCAGTTCTCAAATGATTATCTGGATATGTGCATTCTAGGAACTGTTGGAGGAGATAGACATCAGCAGCTACTTTCAGAATTTTCCCTCAGTAATGGGCTCCTATGAAGGTTACAAAGGATGGTAAATCTACAGTTTAATTGTTTGGGGTTCATTAAGGCCTTCCTGATTTTCTTTGAGCTCTGGTCAGGTAAGCTAATATATATGTTCTTAGCCAATCTAAACACCCATAGATGATCACTGACCAATAACCATCCTTATTTTTAAGTCACTGGATAAGGTAATTTCTTAAACAACTACAGCAAGACATTCCAGAAATGCTTGATCTCATACTTCTGTGCACTATAATAAATAAATACAATTTTGATTTCATCTCAGAGTAATTAATCTGAATTTCCCCTGCTGGGATTTAAAGTAGAAAATGTTCTATAGCTCTTTGAACAGTAGACAGGAAAGAAAATGCCCTCAGACATTCTGTTTAATTAAATTCTAAAGAGGTGGTACAAACTTTTCATGATCAACTGAAACATGCATATTTTGACTGATACATATTTATATGATATTATCATATGAAAATGTTATCATGTTAAACAAACTGTTCTCTTTGGGAATGTGATTTAATGCTATAAACATTTTGTGTTTGTTGTTTCATTGTTCATTATGAAAAATATACAGGCTAATGGTTGCAAGGAAAAAGATATTATGTGAATTGTCTTTGAAGTAGCCTCTAGTCTTTAAAGGCACAAACTATTAGCCTAAATATGAGATGAGAACTCTAGATTTTTTTCTAGTTTAAAGAAATATGTTTTTAAAATACTAACATTAAAAATATTTTAAGCAGATAAAATTAGGAAAGCTAACACATTTGTGTCTTCTATTTGACCAAAGTAAATCATGGATGTCACTCCCAGGTTTCAGGCAGAATAAGATGTGGTTGGTGAAACAAACCTATTCCTTTGGCTATAAGCACTTAAGAAAGGTGCATTTCTCTAGGGGTATGGTCTTACTGTTTAAGATGGGGACACTGTTTCATGGCTGGTGAGAGAATTTTCAGCTATGTTTTGGCTGCCAAAATTAACTTAGATAATCACAGTTCTGGTGGCATAGTGCCTAAGGCACTTGACTGCTAACCAGAAGGCTGATGGTTTAAACCCACCAGCCACTCCTCAGAAGGAAGACTGGACAATCTACTTTCCGTAGAGATACCGCCTCGGAAAACCAAGGAGGGGTTGCTGTGAGTCGGGACCAACTGGATGGCAGTGAGTTTGGTTTTTGGTTTTTTAATTGCAGTTCTTTCTTAGTTTCTTAAATACAATATGACTATAAATGACTTTCATAAGACTGAGATACTGAGATATCTGAAAATATTTTCTTGGATTTTTGGGATAATCCACTTATCAGACCCTTCTTTGGATCATGAACTTTGGATCATGAACTATTGCTAACAGTTTGATGACAGAAAAGGAAAAATCGAATGGAAGTTTTCCAAGGTTATTTGCCTTTACTAAATGGAATTTTATGAAAAACGGATGGAAATGCTGAATTATTTAACAAGACAGATGCCAACCACCATTCCCAGCATTTTCCAACTGCCAGACACAAAAGTGCACAATTTCTTTTGTCTCATCTTCCCAGATTGTGACTTTGTAGTAAGAATGACTTATTAAAATAATCTGCTTTAAAATTCTACTTTTTTGGTTATTTGTCAGGTCTATTTAAGAATGTATTCTTGCTTCTCCTTTAAAAATGTCCAGTGAGTCTGTCTGATGCTGATGGAGTCAAGCTTGGGAAAGTCCTTGGAGCTGGCTGCCTCCCTCCCCCGCCCCCATGCAGTCCCTGTAGTTCAGAGCAGCAGGAGAGGTGTCCAGCTGTGTCCTAGCTTTTGCTCTGTATCCTTTCTGGGCTCAGTTTTCGCCCATGATAGTTAAAGATCTAGAACTTAAAAATCTTATGATTTGTTTCCCAAACCAGCATATTTAACAAAGAAACAATGAAGGGGCCCCAAAGCATGCTCTGAAGTGGCTCCTCAGGAAGTAGGGTCCCCCACTGCACTGTGAGGCCAAGTGATTTCCCCCGTGAAAATGTTTTTCCTTGTAGATTTCACCAGAATCTTATTGCCAATGGATCGTTTGTGAGAGCTCTGCTGTATTAGCTCCCATCTCACAAATTTAAGATTTTAAGGCAGTTTACCAATTGGGAAAAATAGAAACTATTACTATTGTTAATTAATGTAGTAATCATAGATGGTTATTAAAAAGATATACTGTTTCTAATTCTAATTATAAAAATTTCTCCATAGTCTAAGCAAATTATACAGGTTTGTTAATTCTTCATGCTCTGTAAAATGTCTGTATATAGATAAGTGCTGTGTTAAGAACCATATGAAATAGAAATAAAAGCTTTCTTTGAATAGAGAAATTATAAAATGCATAATTATATGAAATTTGAATGCATACTCCACCTAAGGAAAGTTATGTTTTCAAAAAACATGTTTGATTAAAATGAAAGGTCATTTTTACACTGTCTCATTTGATAACTAACAATAAATCACAGTATGTTATTTGTGAAATAAAATATAGAACATCAAAATGACAGTATTTATTCTATTAAGGTAAATAAAATCCTGCATACAATTCTGAGTGATGATACTCATGGAGCTGTATCACTGCACTACAAATTAGTTTGCTTCTAATTTTGCAGGCTGATGACCACAGTGCCTCAAACGAAATCTTTCCTGTGGAAATGGAATGATTGCATGACAGACTCTATGAACCATGAATATGTCAACAACTCATGGACCAGACCTTGCTTAGCAATTAGTCTTTGGGGGATTTTATTCAGAAATCAGACAACACTATACCAGAGCTTGTTAGGGATTTTGTGATTACCATTCATATATGGAGCATGAGTCTGGGTTAGTAACAAACAAATAAAATCATAAAGGAAGAGATGTGGCTAACAGTGGTAATCAGTCAGGCACACACATTGTCAATTGGAAGGACAGAGAAAATTCAACATACAGCAAAAGCCCCTAGGAAGCAGCAAGGAAGTATGTCTTAGGTTTCTACTTTAAGTCTCCTTCTCATCCCTGGCCCTTCAGTGACCAGTGGTTCAGTGTTTTCCACACTTTAGTCATTCGAATATCACCATTACAATTTTTTCATATCCTGCTAACCGTCAGCACTATAGTTTACTCAATATGTTTCATTAATTGACTCACTTTAAAAGCCAACTTTTGTTTTCAAAACCAAACTAACTGCCATTGAGTCAGTTCCGACTCATAGCAACCCCCTTTGGGCTTTCAAGCTGGTGTCTCTATGCAAGTAGATTGCCCAGTCTTCCTTCAATGGAGTGGCTGGTGGATTTGAACTGCCAATCTTCCGGTTAGCAGTCAAATGCTTTAGGCACTGAGCTCCTTTTGTTTAAATAGTAATACTTATGATAACATGAGCTTTTTGTGGAGTTAAGTCTGGTTTTCTTCTCATACAAAGGAAAAGAAATACAGAATTTTAAATACTGAACATATTTTCATATAACCTAGAATCACTCTGAGTATCCGCATGGCATGAGTGATGGGTCTTAGAGAAGTTGGGAAGATCACCAGTCTGGCTGAGAATGATCTGGGCAGCCATATGACCTCAGATCTCATGGCTGAGACCCTCATTACCATCCCTTCATCCTGGGACCACAAGCCATACCACATAGAGGAGATTTTAAATCAGACCTGTGCTTCCCTAAGGAGACCAGTGCAGGAAGGCCATCACATAGGAGACTACCTAGTGAGCCTGACTCATCCCTTTCCATCACCAGAATCGGGCCACTTAGGTCTTTCCTTCTTGGACTAAACACATTACTTTGGGATTGTTGTATCGCAAAAGTAACCAACACCCCATATCATTCAACAATTATAGGGCATATGTCATGATCGATCCCAACTCTGGGCTGCCGAGCATCCCACTAGCATCATCAGATTCATAGGGTAACACTGAATGGCCTACCCAATTTAGATCTTGTAGGCTTTCAGCAGGACCCTTGAAGAAACAGATCATTTTACAAGCTTCGTTAGTCTTGGGACTGGTTTCACCAGCAATTGAGTATTGTAACCAAGTTAAGAAGCACTATGAATCCCCATGGCCCTGCAGCCATGCTCTGGTTTTTAAATAAATGATCTCCTTTGAAAACTTAGGAGCCCCCTTTCTCAAACAAAATAAATAAAAGAGAGAGAGAGAGAGAGAGAGAGAGAGAAAGCACTGAGCCATCCCCCTCAAGAGCTGGCTCTCCTATTGGGTCAGAAAGTAGTAAGGTACAGAAATTAAAATAAGATCTCAGTAGCATCTGTCAGGTTCAGAGTGTGTCTAAGTTTGAAGGGATGTTTGCTTCTGATATGAACATTTTTCTTATACTTTTATTATAGAAGATGATGTGTCAAATGTACAAATAATGTGTGCCTGGTGCCAGAAAGTGGGAATCAAGCGCTATTCCCTGAGTATGGGAAGTGAGGTGAAAAGCTTCTGCAGCGAGAAGTGCTTTGCAGCCTGTCGACGAGCCTACTTCAAGCGAAACAAGGTAAGAGCACTGTAGAGAGGCAGCCTATGCAGGCCTCACCAAACACGTGCGCACGTGTCTTTTAGCTTCTAACTGAAAACACGGCACACCTTTTAGTTTTACACTCTTTTGTCTATTCTCTTTCTCTGTCGTACTTAACCTTTTGGAAGAAGCATGCCCTTTCTGATGTGTAAACTGTTCTTCAATTTCTCTTGGCTTGGTGTTTGCATTCTGAGAGGGTGAATGAATCTGGTGAGGACACAGTGATCACAGCTGGTACCCTAAGCAACAGTGTCTCTCCAGCAGTAAAGTGCACAGACTAGAGTACATGAAAGATAACTGGTAGAGATTGCTTATAAAGGACAAGAAACTAGCCGTATGAGCATGGCCAGAAAGCTTTAGTCCCCTCAATTTAATATTTGTTTCCAATGGGAATATTACTCTTGCTCTTCCCAAAATCTGACCCCAAATTCTAGTCAAGAGTCTCTCAACACCTTATACCAAGAAAAAAAAAACCAGACTCACTGCCATTGAGTCCATTCTGACTATGAGTTGCTATGAGCAACCCCCTTTGGCTTTCTGAGGTGGTAAATCTTGAAGGTAAATCATGAAGTAGATTGCCCAGTCTTCCTTCTGTGGAGCGGCTGGTGGGTTTGAACTGCCAGCCTTCTGGTTAGCAGTCAAATGCCTCAGGCACTACACTACCAGAGCTCTTTAGTCATGTTAAAATCGGTTGATTTTAAGAAAAGGTGTAACAATGACTGTATGAACCAAGGTTACGCATACAGCCAACCATATGTGAGAAGCATGGTGGATGAACACAGACAGCCTTAGTTGGAGGTCCCCCCCCCCCAAAAAAAAAGACATCTCAGGTCTGAAAATGTCCATTTAGAAGGTTATTAACCACCATTAACGGGGAATGGAATGCATGATGGTTTTATAATCACAAACATACAGACACACAAAACTAATTTTTCAATCCTTAAAGAACTGCTATAGCATTATGCCACCAATTACTAGTCCTTGATTATTAATTGCTAAGGGTCCTTGATTATTTTCCATTGGTCTGTAAAGCTTCCTTAATTAGTAAAATCATCTACATTTTGCTAAGCATTCCCATTTCTATCATACAAAATCAAAATTTGCCCTTACTTGAAGCAAACAATTATTATTATTATTATTTTAAAAAGTCTGATATTTGCAATTTTAAAATGCTGATCATGGGCCCACTGCCTTGCAAGAAGCACTGTTGCAACAAATTATCTCCTGCAGATTTGGGTCACATCATTCTGCCAAACAACATAATGTCGAAAGAATTAGGCTGCAGAATTCAGCGGGGTGGAATTTTAGTAGCAGTCTCTAAGAATTAGGCTCATAATCTTCACTAGAACGGAGAGGCAAGCAAGGAGTTTGGAATTCTTTTGCAACAGTCAACAATCAAGTTCACTTTCCCTTGGGAGGGGCAGTAAGGCTGGGGAGAAGGGCGGAAACAGCAACGCAAGGGAGACACGTTTGCTTTAACATGGGAGGATTAAAATGATCTCCAAGACCCCCGGTCTCCCGTTTAAATTCTGAGCACTGGGGTAACAATTACAGGAGTGAACCCAGTGCTTTCTTCTTCAAAGCCCTACTTACCACAACAAAATACTCGGCATTCCATTCCATACCGTGGCTATAGAACAGGAGTTTTAGTTCTATAATTCTGAAGGCTTATGGGTCTGAACCTTGAGGGCTGCCTGTAGTGAATAAAATCAAGCAAGATGCATTTGTTAAAATCCTGATGATACATGATACACGTTGCAAAGCCATTTTACTTTAGTAAGACTTGGAAGCAATGCAGTGAGCCTATGATTAGCATTTCAGGATTACATGATTTGCATTTGTTACATTGTTATAAAGTTAAAGGTCAAACTGAATTTAAACTCCCTTAGGATACATTTTTGAAAAGTAGATAACTGGGATCCAGGATAAGAAATAGTGTTTGGAATATTTATAGTAGGTAGAATCAGCAGTGGGAGGAGGACCGCTTCCCACATGGAGATATTGGGGGTAGGTCTTCCATCATTTTGCCAAACCTGGGAGTTGCAGTGGTCTGATGTTTAGCCAGTGACATTGCTTACTGATCCCAGTGGCCCATCAGAGTATATACAATACCTGTCTTCTCTGCAATCTTCGTGCTTATGTATTCCAAAGCTCTGCCAAAGCTCTCATTTTTCAAATAGAGAAATAAACTGGTCACATCACCTGCTGGATTCTTCTTCTTCTTTTTGTTTTTAAATTCTAAAAGTGTTATCTCTGCATCAATATTATATTGCATTACAATAAACATGTACAGCTGCTGCATTTCTGTTAACTGATAGGATTTTGTGGTCATTTCATTTAGGGCTTGGGTTTCCTAATGGATTCTATTAGATACCAGTCTCCATCCTGCCATTTCTAAGAACTGCTGTTCTGAGCCCCAGGGTGTTCCCCACTGAAGACAATAGCAAATAGATACTTCTCTTCTTGTAACATTTAACAGCCTCTTACTGATTTTAGTCCTCATTAAGATTGTGGACTTTCCTAATCTTAGAAAAAGGCAAAATTCTCCCTGTTCCTACACAGAACATTTTTTTTTTCTGACAAAACTCTACACTTTTAAATATTGAGAAGTGGATGGAAAACAGTGAATAATGTGTGCGCAGAACAGAATTTTGCCTTAGGTATACTGTAGATTTAAAAAAAAAAAAACATATAAAATTAACCATGCTATAAATTTTGCTTTATAATGACAGCCCTGTTTGTTGCTAGATAGCATACTGGGATCTAAAAACAGTTTCCAAGTTGAATCCAAATTACATGCATAACTTTACAAAGAAAAAATCCTACTAGAAAAGGTAGCTAATTAGAAGCAGTATTCCGCTGACCTCTGTTTTGTGTCTGAGCAACACCTGCATTTGTGGATGTAAATTGGGCAGCTGTGCTTGTGGTTCCCCTGCTAGCCTCTTCTCAGAGGCTTGGGTATAGAGGCAGGAACTGATCTGCTGCTGAAAACAAGGACAAAAATAGCCCACATCCCAAAATGAAGGCCTACTGAAAACTGGCTAAATTTCATTTGTTTATCAAACCATCCTTCCTCTTTGGGTCTCTGTTCATTGAGTGAATGGTTAGGTTAAAAATGTCACATAAGTCTCTCATAAACCCTGGCTCCATGAAGTTAGGTGGGGTGGATTGAAGCCAAGTTAACCATTTACAGCATGGAGGTTATATTTTTGAGCTGAATTGAAAATTTTATTTGAAGAGTTGTTTGGATTGCTGCAAGTATATAGGCTTCCTTCAAAGTGCTTCTACTAAACACTTTGCTGTAGGGGCCGTGAATCACAGCTGTATCCAGTTAAGGAATCTAACTACTTGCTTACACATTCAGGATGTTGGCTCTAGGAAGTGAATAGTGTTAATTCATAATTATATTATGTGGAATCCGTATCCCCTAAAGGCTCAGTTGCTGGCTCAAAAGCTATTCAAAAGTTTTAGAAACTTATGGATAACAAAAGTAATTATATGCTTTTTAGCCTATGGATTTTGGATGAACAATGGGCTGTCAATCTCATTACTTAATGCGCTAGATAGTGACTTTTCATGGGACTCACTCTTTTCCCAACCCCTTTTTGAGGCCACAAGCAAAGAAGAACTCGAGATTTCTAGCCCAGTGGTTCGCCTAGGGGTTGGAAAGTCACAGAAACTTCTTAGTGGTTTTGAAAAGATGCTGAAACGTTTAGTACAACATGTTAATACTAGTTCTACATTTGCACAATAGCAGACACTTACAAATATTCTTTCCTAAGGGAGAAATGCCTTGTAGCCATTATCTCTCTAAAAATGAGAGAAACAAATAAGACCACAAATAGTGGCTACTTCCAAAGATCTATTATTATTTTTCTAAATGATCTTTTTCTTTTTGCATGGAAAATATCCTGTTGTCTAAACTAATGTCCAAAAAACCAAGCAGGAAACCAAACCTCAGGACAAATGGTGAAGGCAGGTAAAGGATGATTATGTTTTGTTTCCTTGTTCAGATTTCAAGTTCATAAGTGTACTTGACGATTATTTAGTAACAGACACAAATTCCTAAGGACACCAATTTTTTGCCTCCTTGTTCTAGTTTTTCTATAATTTGAAACAAGAGTAGATAGAAATATTGAAGAAACCTAGATGGAGAAGAGATGGACACATTAAAAATAAAAAATTATTTAGATAAAAACATTTTTAAATGGTGCCGTTAAGATATCCTAACAATTATCTTAATGATGAGACAAATATTCATTGAGAAGAAAAACATTTCTTTTACTTTCAAACTATATCCTTGGATGCATAGCATGTATAAAGATTTCCTAGAAGAGAACTCTTTTGGAAGAACCTGTTGCATATTAACATGTATCGCCGTAACTGTTGGAATCACATTTTACTTAGACATAGACTATTGGTCTTTTTTTTACTAATCTTGCATCTATCCTGGGAAAGATATCTCAGTTCAGACTTAATTATAGAACCTAGCAGTGCAGAAGAAATGTGTTACAATTGCCCTGTTAATCCAGTGATTAACCTGTCTGCTTTTTTCTCTTTAAACACCTGCAAGATTTAATTTCTGAAATGACTATCACTCATGAAGGTTTGGAGAAGAACATTAAGAAATTACTTGCAATTAATGTTTCCTGACTGTCTGAAGCTCAGGCCACAAGCCTGTTTTTACTCGTTGCTTGAAAATATCCTTGGTCCACAAGTAAGTGCTCCCAGAGAGCACCAGTGTTCTTCTGTGGATTTGTCTTCTTTCTATGGATGTAGTGAGCCTGTTGGGGTTGATCTGTCTGCACCTGGCCTGTAGAATGATTGCCTTGGCTCTGCAGAGTCCATTGGAACTGTGCTATAAGCCCACCCACTGTCTTTCACATAGGGTGGCCATTTGCTCCCAGGACTTTAGTCTGCAGGCCAGGGGCTGAGTTCCCTGTTGGTCACAGCAAACAGAGGTGTCTTCAGCAAACTCT